CAAAATATCCTGCCCTAAGATGAATTTGTGGAGGCCAAATCTTGGGTGAATGCATTCCAAATCAGGGGCGCCCTCTTCTGTCCTGTCTTTAATCAAAGGCACAACATTTAGAAAATACCGGGGCTCTTGTCACTCCTCCCCAAGCTTGTAAGAATGTGACAGTGAGGTCTACCTCATCCCTGCCTCCTGCTGAGAGTTCAACTTCTGTAGCTGCTAAGTCAGTCAGGGAAAAGCTTATGATTTTCCCACTAGTTCCAGAGCCGTGGAGATAATACGGGCTTAAACTAAAACGCCCCTGATCACACCGCAAAGAAATGGACTTCTTCTATAACCAGATTTGAGGAAATTGTGGCAGAAGGCACTTGGGAAGAGATTCCAGACACAGGCTACACCATAGGCCAGTTAGTCTGCTGGACAGTACAGGGTCTATAGCTAGGAAGAGGGGCTAGAGCTGGCTGAGCAGGCAAGAGAACTACCAAAGGACCTGGGTTTGACTCCTCAGAGCTCCCAGGGATCCAATGCACTCTTCTGGCTCTGCAGGTACCAGGAAGGCATCTGGTGCACCGGCACACATGCAGGCAAAACACACAGAAGTAATAAAAAGGCATCTAGGAGTAGTCACTCTGGAATCACACTGCTCTTCTTTAGAAACTATTCATTTTAAAATTCCAAACATCCAGAATTTTGTGAGATTATTTTATAAAACAATATATATAACAACACATGACTCAAAACAGTATAATCCAAGGGCAGCAAGGAAGTTCAATACCCTGCTGTGTGTGGTGAAAGACAAAAGAAGCTTTGACCATCTAAATGTCAACAGTCGGAGAATCACCAAATAACCACTCAACAAACCAGAGTGCACACTGAAAACATGTAAAGAAAATAAGAGTACCATGTGGATGTATACCATGTAGCCAGGTTCCTGTTATTTCCTGAACACAGCATTCGAACTGTACTAGGTACAGTAAGTAGTTTAGCAATGACTGAAAGTATAGAGAACAAAGTGCCTATTAAACAAAAACTGCACCTTAAAATTTTTTTTCTTGAGACAAGGCATTGACTAGTAGCCCAGGTTAGCCTCAAACTTTGCAGCAATCCTTCTACTTGTTTCCAAATGCTAGAATTTCAGGCACGAGCCATCATGCCTGGCTTGCCATTTTGCATGTTACTTTTTGGTGCTGAAACTCCAACCTAAGGTTTCATGCATGCCAAAAACACACACCCATACCTTGTGCCACTTATAATAAGCACTGTGGGCATCTCTGATTTAGGTTTCAGATGGCAGGGATGAAGGAAAAGACTCCTGGAATCAATTTCCATATACTGCCATATCCATATTACTAAATTATTAAAATTATACTCAGTGAAAAAAAAAATTTTGTTTTCAAGACAGAGTTTCTCTGTGTAAGTGTCCCAGCTATCCTGGAACTTGCTGTGTAGTCCAGGCTGGCCTTGAACTCACGGAGATCTGCCTGCCTCTGCCTCCTAAGTGCTGGGATTAAAGGTGGACGCCACCACCACTAGGCATAAGTGAGATTCTTTTTTTTTTTTTGGTTTTTAAGAGACAGGGTTTCTCTGTATTGTTTTGGAGGCTATCGGTCCAGCCTGGCCTCGAACTCACAGAGATCCGCCTGCCTCTGCCTCCCGAGTGCTGGGATTAAAGGCGTGCGCCACCACTGCCCAGCCATAAGTGAGATTCTTAATGACATGGAGAAATAAATACTTAATATGCTATCTTAAGCAAAGATAAAATAATATACAGACAAAAATATATAATATCTTAAGTAGCTTAAAAAGATTATATGTATGGGAAGGGGGATTAAGATGTAGGAGAAAAATCCTCTACAGGTCAATTCTGAGACAGTGTGTTTTCTTCTTTAGAATGATTAGTTTCCACATGTACATGTACTCACTTAGGAAATGTAGTAGCACAGGCAAGCAGTTGTGACTGTTTACCACTAAGTGTGAGGCTAAGATAGCACCCTTAACAGTTTCTAAGCTGACAGTTAATACTGTTCCAAGGTAGAAACTTAAAATGCCACATGATGGATGCTTCAGCAGCTAAGAGCACTGGCTGTTCTTTCAGAGGACCTGGGTTCAATTCCCAGCACCCACATGGTGGGTCACATCTGTCTGTAACTCTAGTCCTAGGGAAGTCATCTTCGGGCCTCTGCAGGCACCAGCATACACTCAGTACAGTCACACATGCAGGCAACACACACACACACATGATAGGGAAAAAATTACATAATACTGCAAACACTTACACTGTCAATAATTCTTGCCAGGAATGGTGGCTCACACTTTTAATCCTAGCACCTAGGAGGCAGAGGTAGGTGGATCTCTGTGAGTCTGAAGCTAGCCTGGTCTACAAGGCAAGTTCCATGATAACCAGGGATGTTACAGAGAAAGCCTGTCTTGGAAAACAAAACAAAACAAAATTTGTTTTAAAATATTGCTTTTAGGGACTGGAGAGATGGCTTAGTGGTTAAGAGCATGAGTTGCTCCTCCAGATGTCATAGGTTCAATCCCCAGCATCCACTTGGCCGCTCAAAACTGTAACTCTAGTTCCAGGGAACCTGATGACTCCTGGCCACTGAAGATACCAGGCATGCATGTCGTGTACAGACACATGGAGGAAAAACACCCATACACATAAAATAAAACGAAGAAACCTTACTTTTTTTTATTTGTGTGTGTGTGTGTACCTGTCATGGTCAGAAATGAGTCCCAGATTCCTTGAAGCGAGAGGAACATGTGACACAGGCACTGCCTAGTCAACTTGGATCCTTTGGAAGAGCAATGATCTTCTCAGTCCCCACACTATTAATAACTCTTACCTATCATTAAATAAAAATAGAATTTAGGGCTGGAGAGATGGTTCAGAGGTTAAGAGCACTGCCTGCTCTTCCAGAGGTCCCGAGTTCAATTCCCAGCAACCACATGGTGGCTCACAGCCATCTGTAATGAGATCTGGTGTCCTCTTCTGGCCTGCAGACATGCAGGCAGAATACTATATACATAATAAACAAATAAATCTTAAAAAAAGAATACTGCTTGCTCTTCCAGAGGTCATGAGTTCAATTCCCAGCCATCACATGATGGCTCACAATCATCTGTAATGAGATTTGGTGCACTCTTCTGGTGTGCAGACACACATGCAGGCAGAACACTTACATAAGTAAATAAATCTTAAAAAAATTAACTTACTTAATAGCCTCTAAAACACTGAGTGACATCAAAATACCTAAACAACAAGCCATTCCAGAACCACTACATTGCTCTCTGACCTTACATGCCCCTTACAGATTACAACCCCAAACTTGCTCTGTGGTGCTCCTTGAGGACTTTAAACACACTATTACTAGGTCGTTGGCAGGAACGTCTTCCCCTAGAGACACACGCCTACTCGGCTACTTTCTTGGCCTCCTTCCCCAACCCTTCCCTTTAAATATATCCCCTTTACTGAGGCCTACATGGAGTTACCCAACATGGGAGACCACCTTCCACCGCTCTAATTATGTTCTAACAAATGTAAGTTTACTGTGTCTCTTTCTACTGGAAAGTAAACTCAGTCATGGGATTTTGATTTTCAGTCTGTACATGTCCAAAGCACCTTAAAAAAAGCATGACACACAGCAAGTGCTCAATAAATTAAGTTCAACGTATATGTGAATGCTGCGAAGACTGACAGAGCCAATACAATTTTTAAGACATATCAACTACTTAAAATAAGGCAACTCTCTATGCCCATATAATAAAAATGTCAGTCATAAAATTCCTAGAAAACCCATCCACTTTTATCATTCTTATTTGTTTCAATGTACCTCTACCCAAGACTTATGCTGATTTATTGGAAAATTACAATTTTATGTTTTTAATACTACAAGACACTATATGACCAGGAACGTCTATTATGCAGCTTCAAAAATATTTAGGACAAATGTTGAAATGTATACAAAATTCACCACTATTTGGTTACTAAACTAAAACAGGTTTTAAAACTACATTTGCATATTTGGTTGTACATGTCTGCAATCTCGGATACATGGGAGGTTGCTAAAGTACAAGAATCAAAAGTTCAAGACCAGCTTGGGTTACATAGAGTTCAAAGCTCTGGCCTGCACAATTTATGAGATTCTGCCTTAAAAAGAAAAACAGGGCTGGTGTGAGATGGCTCCCTGGGTAAAGGCATCCATTTGCCACTAAAGCTGATAAACCGAATTCAATCCTCAGACCCCACTTGGTGGAGGAGAGAACTAATTCCTGCAAGTTGCCTCCAGGCCCCACGTCTAAATAAATACAATGAAAAATAAAAGGTAGCTCTGTGGTAGACTGTTTACTTTCCTAGCAGACTGCCAAGCCCTGGGTTTAATCCCAAGCAACACAGTAACAAAACAAACACAGCAAAACAGTACATTTGAGTTATAATCCTAGACCTTGCCACAGATTGTTGTGGAATATTAGTTTAATGATGCAAAGATGTGTTGCATTCTTTTATGCTGCATTTGTTTAACTCTGTGAAGCTGTGTCATTCAGCCTGCCTAAAACATCTGATTGGTCTAAGAAAGAGCTAAATGGCCAATAGGTAGGCAGAGAGGGATAGGAAAGGCTGCCATGCAGAGAGAATAAACAAAGGAAAAAAAGAGAAAAAAAAAAAAAAAGAATGAGAAAAAGGGGCCACGTGTTGGTGGCACACACCTTTAATCCCAGCACTCGGGAGGCAGAGGCAGGCGGATCTCTGTGAGTTCGAGACCAGCCTGGTCTACAGAGCGAGTTCCAGGACAGCTTCCAAAGCCCCAGAGAAACCCTGTCTCAAAAAAACAGAACTTTTTCCCTGTGATCATCCATGACCAGACCAACCCTACTGGTTTTAAAACAATCTTCTATCTTTTACTTTCAGGGATGAAAGCCTAAAGCCTGTGACAAGCTCTAAAACTCGTAATAAAATAGACTCCATAGGAATGTGAGGAAAAGCCTCCCCAAAGACACTGTACCTCTGAATGCCGCTCTACACTTCCAGTGTCGGATCCGGAGTGCTGCTCATTGACATCATCCTCACCGTCTGACCCCGAATCCCGCTCATCCTGTACTGGAGTAGCACCGCCATCATCTGCTTAAACGAAACAAGACCCCTTTAGGGTGTAAGATGGATGGTATCTGTAATAATGTCTATGATTGCAGTTAAAATGAAATCTACAGTTGAGATGAGCACGCCTAATATAAGAGACAAAGGTTCCTACTATCGAAGAACCGTTAATAAAGCAAATGCTCTGAAAAACAATAGAAAATTCATATAAATACCAACAATGTGGCACATATAGCAGTGAAAATATTTCATACATATGAAGCCTAGGAAAACCACTAAATGTCAAGTCAAAATCATCTAAATAATAGTTTCAATTTTTTACTGTGTATCTTTCCAGGGCACCATCCTTTCATGCACTATATAACTTGGTACTTTGTATATTGTGGACTTTTGGATTCATGTACTCTAGAGCCCAGACTACTGTCTGTTAGATGGTATACAGGAAGTGCTTGTTCATGAATGGAGAGCACAAGGAACTTCAGCCCAGAAATAGTGAAAACTCATTCGTAAACTATAATTTTATAGAATAGTAAATATGAACTGATACCTAATCTTAACAAACACCTTAAAAATACAAAATAAAATTATCCTTGAGAGGTATTCAGGATATTGAAAAGCATGATTTGATTAGCAGCTTAAAAAATAAGTAAACAAATAAATAAAAATTAAATGAAACAGTCAACTACAAGAAAACCAAAACATACTAATGAGATATTCTATTCACCTAAAGAATAAAGTTTATAGCTGGGCATGGCACACGCCTTTAATCCCAGCACTCGGGAGGCAGAGGAAGGAGGATCTCTGTGAGTTTGAGGCCAGCCTGGTCTACAGAGCAAGTTCCAGGACAGTCAAGACTACACTCAGAAAACCTGTCTTGAAAAACTTAAAGAATGGTGTTAGGGAACTGTTATCTTTTTGCTACCTCTATTTTTCTTGTAACATAGCCTACAAACCATATTCCATGGAATTTTAACTTAATTTTAAAATGCCAATGAACTGAAAAATCTTTTTGAAAACATGAAAAGATATTTTAATCAAAACAGCAGTGGAGGCTCAGGATAATAGAGTCTGCTATCATCAGTGTTCAGTCATTGGCCACTGAACCCAAAACAGAAAACAGCTTAATCCTTGGCCATTTTTTTTTCACAGTTAAGTTTGATACGTCAAGTCCAAAAGCCGATGCCCACACAGCTGTTTTACCCAGCCAAGCCCTTGCTAGCCTTGTACAGCTCACGTGCCTAGCACAGTGGAGCCCACTTAGAGAGGGCACGGATGTCACTCTAAAACTCGTCCCTAGCTTTAAAATGCAAACTTAAGGCTAAAGATCCTGGGCTTGCCGGGCGGTGGTGGCGCACGCCTTTAATCCCAGCACTGGGGAGGCAGAGGCAGGCGGATCTCTGTGAGTTCGAGGCCAGCCTGGACTACAAGAGCTAGTTCCAGGACAGCCTCCAAAGCGACAGAGAAACCCTGTCTCGAAAAACCAAAAAAAAAAAAGATCCTGGGCTTGCTTCCTGGGAAGCCTGTATTACCATAGAAACTAAACTGTCCTAACCAGCGGGGTCTAGTTAGAATCCCCGTTCCCAGACATTAAACTGTCCTAACCGGCAGAGTCTAACAAGGGTCCCCGTCTCCAGACATTAAACTCGTCCTAACCAGCGGGGTCTAGTTAGGATCCCCGTTCCCAGACATTAAACTGTCCTAACTGGCAGAATCTAGTTAGGATCCCCGTCCCCAGACATTAAACTGTCCTAACCAGCAGAGTCTAGCAAGGGTCCCCGCCCCCAGAAACTAAACTCGCCCTAGCCGGCGGGAAGGCTCCCCGCCCCCCGCACCCAACAGTCTCCGTGGAAAGCGTCTCCACGGCTGGCGGTCCCCGTCGGAGCGCTCAGACTGCTTGCCGAGCGGACGGAGGCGCCGCCTTGAGCAGAAGCCCGCGTGAGGCCCGCGGGGCCGGGGCCCTCACGAGTTCCCCTCTCGGAGGTTCCCGCCACGCCGGGGGCCCCCGGGAACGCAGAGGGGGACGTCCCGCCGCGGGGCCGGGGCGCGAGGCCGACCCACCTGACGGGTCGCCGCCGTAGTACTCCGCGTCCATGGCTGGCTGGCTGGCTGGCTGGCGGGCGGGCGGGCGAGCGAGCGGGCGGGCTCCCGGCGGGGAGTGTCCGCGGCACGCGCCGCCCCCGTCCCCCGGCACGTCCTTTCCCGGCGGCGGCGCTCCTGCCTCTCGTCCGAGAGTCCCGGGAGGTCGGCGGCGACCGGCAACTGGCGCCCCCCCTCCCCGCCCCCGCCGCTACCCCACACGGGGCCGCCCCTCCCAGGCCCGCCAAGCGCCGGCCCGCGCGCCGCTCCCCACCAGCACCTCCGGGCCCAAAATGGCGCCTGCCCACTGCGACCCTCAGAGGGACGCAGTGCGCCGGCGCCGGCACCCTCCCGTCGGCCAATCAGCAGGTGCGCCGCTAAAATGACGCCACCGCAGCGCCGTCCGGAAGGAGACTGCTGGGAGAACCGGGTGGTCGCGGCTGGTTCGGCTTTCGGGTAGATCCCGGCCTCGGGCCGGGTGTGGTCTGTCTTCCAGGAGGAGGAGTGGGGTTTTACTCGCTTGGTTCTGCGTTCGAGCTCGCTTTAAGGGACGTTTGAGTCCCTGCGGGAAAATGAAACCCCGCGGAACCTTGCATTCTAGCACGCGGCCACTTGCAGTTCCCGCCCTCAGTTTAGAAAGTAGCGCGTTGCTCTCTGGGACTTGTAGTTCTCCCCCAAGGTTAGGGAGCGCGGATCAGTTAGTGGGGGCTCTCAAAAGCAGATCTCCAAGGAAGTTAGAAATTAGATAAAAACAATGTACTGAAATACGATGATTGATACTTACAGATCGTTTTATTTGCTTTCTTTACAAAATAACTGAATGGCAACTTAAAAGTTATTTGGTCAGTAAGTATAGATCTTTTGTCTTAAGAGCTCCTTGATTGGTGGCCCTCGCCTTTAATCCCAGCACTGGGGAGGCAGAGGCAGGAGGATCTCTAAGTCCCAGGCCAGCCTGGTTTACCGAGTGAGATCCACGACAGCCAGGGCCCCTGTCTCCAAACACCCCCCCCCAAAAACGAGCAAAAACGATAAAACCTTGTTGAAGAAGCAAGTAGCTACTCAAGGATCTCCGAGCTCATCTGGTTCCAGGACTACGAATAGGCAGCCTGTTGGTCGTCCTCAGTCGGGAAGAGCCGTGTGGTGGTTGAGGAAGTAATGGCTTTGTATGCTTTGCTGCAACAAATTAGAGAGGAATTTCAAAACGCAAGGGCTGGAGCCAGGCCTGGTGGCACACGCCTTTAATCCCAGCACTCGGGAGGCAGAGGCAGGTGGATCTCTGTGAGTTCGAGGCCAGCCTGGTCTACAAAAGCTAGTTCCAGGACAGCCTCCAAAGCCACAGAGAAACCCTGTCTCAAAAAAAAACAAAAAACAAAACCCACGAAAGGGCTGGAGATTAGAACTGCCATTGGAAAGGGGCCCAATAAAAAGTGTTATTCATGTCCCACAAGTCTAATGGGGAGTCTCTGGTTTGTGAGTCTGTTCTTTTCTTGTTCTTCATTTTTGTTGTAGTTTTTGTTTGTTTGTTTATTGTTGTTGTTTTAGCTGTCCGGAGTTCTTAGACACCTAATAATTCATGAAGCAATATTCCTCCCCTAATATAGTACAGATCCCTCCCTTCTCTGTAGTAATGAGATTTAATACCCATCTACTTTGTAATACCATGGCTGCTAGGGAGTAAAACTGGTCTGGAGTTTTTCAACGCTGTCCTGGACCGGTGTCAGACCAACCTGGGTTTGTTGAACAAATTGGGTATGTTGTACTTTGTTGGAGTCCAGTAGTTCCAACAGGAGTAAGTAGAAGTAACACGTCATCCATTTTTGGTTCAGATAGGGGTGGGCTGCTGGATTGTTTTAGACCCAGGGATGATTATAAGACCTGAAATTACCGGGCGGTGGCGCACGCCTTTAATCCCAGCATTTGGGAGGCAGAGGCAGGCGGATCTCTGTGAGTTCGAGGCCGGGCTGGATCGATAGCCTCCAAAACAATACAGAGAAACCCTGTCCCGAAAAAACCAAAAAAAAAAAAAAAAAAAAAAAAAGAAAAGAAAAAAAGACCTGAAATTAAGCCGGGCGGTGGTGGCGCACACCTTTAATCCAGTATTCGGGAGGCAGAGGCAGGTGGATCTCTGTGAGTTTGAGACCAGCCTGGTCTACAAGAGCTAGTTCCAGGACAGCCTTCAAAGCCACAGAGAAACCCTGCCTTGAAACACCCCCCCCCAAAAAAGACCTGAGATTAAATATGCAACTTGGCATGTGGGGTAATTGATAGGGCAGCAAGAAAAAAGACCACTGGGGCATTCAAAATGGGCGCCATTAGGGACTTTAGAGTTGGAAATTGGCCTGGTGTAGTTGGGATGGCTGTACCCACAATTAGTATAAGCCAAGCCTGAAGGCCGGGCTTGGATGTGGAACCCTTGGCTAACGGGATTTTAGTTAAGCCTGGCCCCGAGTATGTTACTTGCCTTGCTCTCAGGCAGATCCAACACTTTTTTTTTCCTTAGGCGAGGCTGAATTTTAGCATTTTGTGGCTACTGTTTGTGAGGACAAGCATTTGAAGAAGGCGAGCATTGGAATCCAAGAGGTAGGTTAAGGTTTGGTTGGTTTTTCTAAGTAGGAATTTTATCATCCGAGAGAGGGACCAAGACTCCATATGGATGCAAGGTATGGATAGGGACAGAGATGTCTACAGCTGCTACCTCCAGGCAGATGGCTGTCTTTGGAGGAGGGAGGTCCTTGCTATTAGCTAACCATCTAAGGCCAAACTTTTGTCTTCCCCCACTTGTGAGGCCTTTAAACTCTGCTATTGATACTATTGTTCATCCTTGCTTTTTTCTGGTCTGTGTTCTGTTGGATGTCAGGGGACACTGGCTACTGAATGTGATGTAGTCAGTAGAGGTAGGGGACCACCATCAGGCTCCTGGGGAGGAAAAATTAGCACAAGATCAGTCCTGCAGAAAGAACTGGAGCCGGTCTTTCCAAACGCCAGTAACTGGCACTGGCTCCCTACCACATGCAGCTACAGTGCTGCTTGTTTCTATAGGAGTCATGACAGAATCAGAGGCAAGTACAATTGGGTTCTGTGTAGCTGCCAAGAAGTTATAGCCCTATCTGAACAATACTAAACTGACCTTCCTGTGCATAGCTCGTCATTTTTTCTGTGCAGCCTGAGCTGTCCTGGGACTTAGTCTTTAGACCGGATTGGCCTCAAATTCAGAGATTTTCCTGCTTCTGCTTCCTAAGGGCTGGGATTGATTAAAGGTGAGTCACCACTGCCCAGCTAGTCTTTTTTTTTTTTTTTTTTTTTTTTTTTTTTTTGGTTTTACGAGACAGGGTTTCTCTGTATTGTTTTCGAGCCTGTCCTGGAACTCACTCGGTAGACCAGGCTGGTCTCGAACTCACAGTGATCCTCCTTTCTCTGCCTCCCGAGTGCTGGGATTAAAGGCGTGCGTCACCACCGCCCGGCTCCAGCTAGTCTTATTGAGAACTGGCAAATGTCTTTAATCCCAGCACTCAGGAGGCAGAGGCAGGCTGATCTCTGAGTTCAAGGCCAGCCTGGATTGCATAGTGAGTTCCAAGATAGCCAGGGTTATGTAAGACATTCTGTCTTAAAAAAAAAAAAAGATTTGAGACCTTTTTGTATTTTGCAGGGCAGTCAGGTAGGGTTAGAGCTAGGACTCCGTAAAGGGGGAGGTGTTTTATAGTCGTGAGGACATTCTGAAGATGGGATTAGACCAGGCAACCTCTGATGTAACAATAATCAGGTGAAAGAGGGCCAGAGGAAGCCTCTCTCCCCAACCTGACTGGTGGGGGTCACAGACAGTAAGCCATCTACAGAAGAAAAGCAATAGAACAGTTAAGTCCAGGATTTGCAGAGCATCACTGGTGTGTGTGTGTGTGTGTGTGTGTGTGTGTGTGTGTGTGTGTATGGGGGGGGGCTGGCACAGGTAGAGAAAAACTGGATTTGGTCGTAAGTGTACCGGAGCCTCAATGGCGTCTCTGAGGGAAACCCCAGTCAGCGACAGGTCCCTGCATCAATTGGACGTTACTCTGGTAGTCCTTCAGGAAAGACAGAGGGAAGGCCCACCTGGCTGTTCTGGGATGAAAGGGAGCTGAGTGAGTTTACACAGTTTTCCAGCTGGGGCTGTTCTGTATGGGGGGGGGGTTAAAGATGAGGTAGGCGCATCCAGGCTGGGACACTCTCTAGACTAGCAGCTGTGGGGATCGGAGAATAATTTTGTGGGGCTGAGGTGTGTGGGTCTTTTGAGGGATGGGAGCAGATTCTCACAGAGGGTAGAGGAAGCTTTTCCCAGTCTGAGTTGGGTTCCAGGGAGAGTTTGATCAGAGCTTCCCTAAGGGTTCAGCTAGATCATTCGCCTCTCCAGAGTTCTGTGAGTGCTAAAGGGGTGTGGAGCTTCCAGGGTATGTTAAAAAGAAGAAGAACGGGGTGGGGTGGGGTGATCGCTGCAGTGAATTCTGGGCTGCTGCCTGGGGGGAGGTTGGGAGGACAATCCGAGAATTTCAGAGAGAAGGCGCTGGGGTAGAGTCTCTTGGTGGAAACAGGAAAAGCATGTACCCATCCCGAGGAAGTGTGGGCTGGAACCAAGCATATTTGTGTTCCTTTACCCAGAGCATAGTGTGAAGTTAGTTTGTAGTGTGTGGCAGGTAGGCGCGCTCTCATCTGGTGAGTGGGAAGAGATGGTGGTGTGTGTGTGAGGTTAGACTGGGCGTCAGCACACAAGCAGGTGTCTCAGGTCTGGGAGAACTGCTGGAGAAAAGCCGTGTCCTCCTGCTGGACTGGAAAGTACTGAGGAACGTGAGCGGAGTCTGACTAGCTGAGCGCAACAGTGAGCACAAGCGTGTGTTCCTGTTACAGGGCGTGGGGTTGGGTTCCTGGTCCTTTTTGCCTCTTGATGTGTGTGTGTGTGTGTGTGAGAGAGAGAGAGAGAGACAGAGACAGAGAGAGAGACAGAGAGAGACAGAGAGAGAGAGAGAGAGAGAGAGAGAGAGAGAGAGAGAGAGAGAGACAGAGACAGAGACAGAGACAGAGAGAGAGAGAGAGAGAGAGAGAGAGAGAGAGAGAGCAGCTTCCCTGGCCAGTTTACCTGACGTGTTATTAGCCAGGGAGATAATTGTCTATCCTCTTGGCGTCCCCTGAAGTGTACTACTGAGTCTGGGTCAGGAAGCAACACTGCCTCCAGGAGTCTCTGTAGATGGAGGCGTTGGCCGTGGCGCTGTCAGGAATCCCGTGTCTCCAGGTGAGGATGTCGGAGCGGATAATGTTATAGGCACACTTGGAGTCACTATAGATGTTGACCTGTTTCTCTTTGGCCAGGGTGAGGGTCCTTGTGAGAGCTGTCGGTTCTGCCTGTGGAGAGGAGGTATGGGGAGGCGGGGACTTGACCTTGATGAGAGTGTTCAGGGTAGGGGTGCGGGGTGTCCTTGGATAATGGCATACCTGGCTTGGGGGTGCAGCTGCCACCTGTGAACCAGTTCTGATCTGTGGGGAGGAGCAATGAAGGATGTGTAACAACAGGATTCATGGTAAGACCTCGGATCTCAGGGCAGGAATTAGAGGGGTGTATGACTCAGTGGTTGAGGGGTAGCAGGGGTGCAGGGGGCGTGGCGTAGGGGGAGGGTCCAAAGGTGAAGTTGGGGTCCAGAAGAAAGGCATAGAGGATCTACTTCCAAAATGGGGGTGAGGAGGAGAAGGCCGGCATGCGTGGGTGTAGAGTGGGCGTGGTAAGCAAGCAGCGGACCGGACTTCTGTTAGCTTCCGGACTCAGAAGCGCAACAGCAGCCAAGGCTCCCGAGCATGAGCCTCCCCCGCCCCCTGCATGAGCCTCCCCCGCCCCCTGCATGAGCCTCCCCCACCCCCTGCATGAGCTCCCACCCCCTGCATGAGCTCCCACCCCCTGCATGAGCACCCCCACCCCCTGCATGAGCCCCCCGCCCCCTGCATGAGCTCCCACCCCCTGCATGAGCCCCCCGCCCCCTGCATGAGCCCCCCACCCCCTGCATGAGCCCCCCACCCCCTGCATGAGCCTCCCCCCACCCCGCTACATGAGCTCCCACCCCCTGCATGAGCCCCCCACCCCCTGCATGAGCTCCCACCCCCTGCATGAGCTCCCCGCCCCTGCATGAGCCTTCCCCCACCCCGCTACATGAGCCCCCCGCCCCCCCATGACCATATCCAGTCGCTTCAACAAATAACCCAAGTGAGAACGAGTATCTCCTGCCTTTGATGGCCTGCTAGCCCTTGTCCCTGATTGGAGAAGAGGAAAAGAAAAGGAGGCCCGAGGGCATCCAGGGGCGGACAGCTCTCAGTGGAGTGAAAGGAACGGAACGGACATAGGTGGCGAACAATCCGGGTACAGACCCATGCCTTCTCTCTGGGTACCTGACAGCCCTAGGAACCCAGAGCACTGAGGCTGTGGATTGGCAGAGCTTGTCCGGAACAGCTGCCTGCCCCGGAGACAGAGGAGAAGGTCATCTACGTACTGCGCAAGAAAACTAGGAGAAACGTCGCGGGAAGCTAAGTCCTCGCAGGGCTTGACCCCAGAAGCCCCGGGACAGGCTACCGTGTAAGTAGGTTGTTGAGAGTTTAGAGTATCACGCTCCCTTACTGTGCACTCACTCTCCTGCACAGAGGAGTGGAGGCTGGGTACAGGGGTACAGAAAAAACAGGCTACGTTTAATTTGAAAACCGAACAGTAGGCAGTGCTGGGGATGGGTAGGTGAAAGGAGAATTGAGGGGTTGTGGACTCTGGCTTCATTGCTTTTCCTGGTCCTGGACCAGGCAGAAGAACCCATGAGGTTTTACTTACCCACAGGATAGGAGTGTGAGACGGTGAGTGAGTGGGAATTGGGAGTCCTGCCTGGAGAAGGTGATGACTGAGAGGCGTTAGGCCTACCCACGTATTTGGTGGTACTGAGTATTGTTCTTGTGTCATGTAGGAGGAGGGGTCTTTCAAAGAGACAGTGATAGCAGGCTATGGAAGGATTAGCAGTGTCCCACACCCTAGGGTGAACGAAGGGTAGCGCAGGATGAGAGGGGTTTTCAGGAGAGGATGCTCAATGTCTAGGTCGAGTTCCATGACTAAGAGAAAGGAGGAGGTTATTTCTATGAGAGGTATGTAGAGGCATTTAATTGAGGAGGTACCGTCCTAGGAAGGGTAAAGGATAATTTGCCATCACTATAAATGTACGTGTTAGAGATAAAAACCCAAATTAACAAGAGAGTAGAGGGTTGCTTCTGGGTCGTAATGGGGGCTCAAGACAGTCTCTGGAAATTGTAGAAGGGGAGGGGAACCTGTCTCCCTGACATTCGGTTAACAGAGAAAAGGAAGGGAGTCCTTGTCTTCAGGACAAAAGGGACTTGTCTCCCAACCACTATCCCTGTCACCCTGACATCAGATGAGCCATAGGTGCCCGGCTAGGGGAGGTGAACTCAGGCCTTCAGGCCTCTTCCTCATATTAATTCTATGAATGAATGGTGGGAAGTGGTGTCAGGGGTGGAGGAGCAGGGGGGGTTAACTGAAGTCCCAATGGACAATACACCTCCCAGTGTCCCCATTGTCTGCATGTGGGGCACGCCCATCTCAGGGGCCAGGGACTGGGGCCCCCATGTCAGACACAGAAGCAAAGAAGTCCACAAGCCTAGATCTCACTAAAAAATATGAAAGCCTGGGGCTGGAGAAATGGGTTGGCAGTTAAGACCTCTCTGTGGACCAGGGTTCAATTCCCAGCACCCACATGGCAGCTCACAACTGTCTGCAACTCCAGTTCCAGGGCTTAAGACACCCTCACTCAGATGCACATGCAGACAAAACGCCAGTGCACACAAAATAAAAATAAATGTTTTAAACCTGAAAGATCAAGGCAGTATTCCCTGCCCCAGACCACAAGTCTTACGGAAATGTCCTCCAACGAGAGAGAATTAACTAGATGAGCAGAGCCCTAGGGCACAGAATTTAAAGAACTCAGGAATTTAAAGACACAAAGAAACAGGTCAGTGAACTTAGAAAGAAATCAATGTCTGAGTGAATACCAAGGAAACACGAATGTAAGGCCGATGGGAATGACGAAAACAATCCAGGATTTGAAAATGGAATTCAACAAACAGAAACATTGAACATAACTCAAGCTGAAATGAAGATAAATTTCAAAGCCTAATAGCCCAACTAAAGTCTCAGGGAAAGCCTTAGAATTACAATGAATCAAGCAGAAGTCAGACTATCAGGACTTAAAGGTAAAACAGGGCTGTCTTAGGGTTTCTATTGCTGTGACAAAACACCATGACCAAGAAGAAAGTTGGGGAGGAAGGGGTTCATTTGGCCTCCACTTCTGCATGGCTGTTCATCACTGAAGGACGTCAGGACAGAAACTCAAGCAGGGCAGGAACCTGGAGGCAGGAGCTGAGGCAGAGGCCATGAAGGGGAGCTGCTTACTGGCTTGTTTTTGTTTTCCGAGACAGGGTTTCTCTATATTGTTTTGGAGGTTGTCCTGGAACTCGCTATGTAGACCAGGCTGGCCTCAAACTCACAGAGACCTAACTGCCTTTGCCTCCCGAGTGCTGGGATTAAAGGCATTTGCCACCAATGCCTGGCATGCTTACTGGCTTTCTTACTATGCAAAGCTTACTGCTTTCTTATAGAACCCAGGACCAGCAGCTCAGGGATGGCACCACCCACCATGGGCTGGGCCCTCCCCCATAGATCACTAATTAAGAAAATGCCTTACAGCTGGATCTCAATGGAGGCACTTCCTTAGCTGAGGTTCCTTTCTCTCTGATGACTCTGATAACACACAAAACCACCCAGTACAAGGGTGTAGACCAAATAAGTAAAGAATATGAAGGAAATGTATTACTCCAAGTGCCACATTAAAAAAAAATCAGCAAGAACACAAATGATGCATTTTAAAGTTGTAGGAAAACAAGAATAAAACATAAGCCCAGCAGACAGCAAGAAATAATAAAACCAGAGCAGAAATTAATAACAGAAAAAAAAACAATTCAAAGAATCAGAGACTCTAAGAGCTGATGCTTTGAGTAGATAAACAAAATCAACAGACTGTTGGCCAGCTGTCTAAAGAAAGAGAAGACTCAAATTAACAGAGCCAGAAATGAACATGGAAACTTTACAGCAGACATGAACAAAATTTAGAATATTATACGGGAATACTTTAAACACCTGCACTCCATTAAGTTGTAAAAACCTAAAAAAGATGGGTGAATTTCTAGATTCAGCCAAACCACCAAAATTAAACCAAGAAAAAGACCCATACCAATGAGGAAATTGAGACAGGAATAAAAAGCCTTCCTACTTGACTACATCTGACATCAACTGGGTACACCTTCGAGGAACTTTTCTTGATTGGATCATTCACTGGAGAAGACCCACCCTAATCTGGGCCACACCTTCTGGTGACAGCCCACATAAAAGGACATGGAAGAGGGCTGGAGAGATAACTCCGAGGTTAAGAGCACTGACTGCTCTTCCAGAGGTCCTGAGTTCAATTCCCAGCAACCACATGGTGGCTCACAACCACCTTGAATGAGATCTGATGCCCTCTTCTGGCATGCAGGGATACATACAGACAGAACTCTGTATACATAATAAATAAATAAATCTTAAAAAAAAAAGGACATGGAAGGAGGAAGTTTTGCGTTTTGCCGGCTTGTCCTCACTCTGGTACGTTCGTCCGTTCTGCTGCTGAGGCATTCCTTTGCTGGTGTTAGGACCTGCTTCCTCAGGATTCCATCATACCCTGAAGACCAGCTGAGACAGACAGCCTTGTGGACTGAACAACTACTGGATTCCTGGACTTTCTGTCAGGAAACAGCCATTGTGGGACTAGCCAGACCACAACCCGTAAACAACTCACAATAAATCCCCCTTTAACATATATAGATTAATTTTTTTATCAGTTTTGTTGTTCTAGAGAACCCCAACTAGTACCCAGTAAAGACACAACAGCAGCAACAGGAATGCATAGGTCAATGTTCCCAATAAACTAGGATTAAAAAATCCACAATAAAACACTTGCAAACCAAATACAGACATACATTAAAAAGATCATGCATCATGGCCAATTTGGATTTATCCCAGAAATGCAGGGATAGTTCAATATACATAAGCCATTACATGCAATAAATCATATGAACATCATAGTACATGTAGGGCTGAAGGCAATAAATCCCAACATAAGAGCTATGTATTAGAAACTGCAAACAGAATCATTTGAAATGGAGAAAATCTTGAAGCAATCCTATGAAAATCAGGAGTGAGATGTAGCTGCCTACTACCCCCACCCCTTTTCAACATTCTGTTTAAAGCACTAGCTGGAGCAATAATGCAAGAAAAGAAAATTAAGGGCTACAAATAGGAGAAGTCAGACTACCCCTATTTGCAGATGATATGATAGTATACATGAGAGGTCTCAAAAATTCTACTAGAAAACTTCTGGAAATGATCAACTATTTCAGCAATGTGGCAGGATCAACTTGCAAAAATTAATAGCTTTTCTGTACGAGAGAGAGAGAGAGAGAGAGAGAGAGAGAGAGAGAGAGAGAGAGAGAGAGAGAGAGAGATCATGGAAACACTACCATTCATAATAACCTCAAAGAAACTAAAATATCTAGAAGTTAAACCTAATCAAGGAAGTAAAAGGCTTCTACAATGAAAACTTTAAATTTCTGAAGAGAAACATAGATAAAGACACTAGAAAGTGGAGAGACACCCTGTGTTCACAGATTCGTATAATAACATTGTGTGAAAATGACCATTTTATCCAAAGTCTTTGCATATTCAACACACCCAATAAATTCCCACAATGTTTTTCACAGCACAGCAAAAGCTATTCTAACATTCATATTGAACCACAAAAGGCACAGACTGTCCAAGCGATCCTGAGCAAAACAGGCAAGCCTCATCTATGTCAACGACACGGCCGCCCGAACAACTAACTACAGCACAGTAGAGGCGCTAACATGAAGGAGAAAATCCCGCGGACACCACTCCAAGACAAAGAACTACAGGCAAGCAATGACTTCTGAGAGAGGGAGAACTAGCCCTCCCTGAGGATGAGCCCCCTAACTGGTCATGCTATAGCAAGTGGGCGGTCTTTCAGACACATGCACAAGTAACACGAGACAGGCTGAGCATTCATATATTTATGTGTTTATGTGTGTAGCAACAACAAAGAAAGAGACCACGGATTTGAGAGAGAGCAAGGGTACGGATAGAAGGGGTTTAAGGGAAGAAAAGAAGGGAGAAAATGTAATTATATTTTGATTCCAAATTTTAAAAAACCTAATTAAGTAACTAAAGAAGAAGAGGGGGGTATTTTTAGCTCATAGCTGGGGGCATTCTAATGTGGTGAGGGTTTGACTCAAGAGGCAGAGTGGTGAATGTCAGGACTTTTCCCTTTTCTCCTTTTTATTTGGTCAGGCAATTAGGGTGGGTCTTCCCACTTCATTTACCCTAATCTGGACTGGATAATCCTTCACAGACTCGCCCAGAAGCTAACGTCCTTTTTTAGACATGCCTACAGGCTAGCCCAATCCAGACATTCCCTTATAGACAAGCCTAGAGGCTAACCCAATCCAGATACTCCCTTACAGACATGCCCAGAGGCTAACCCAATCCAGACACTCCCTCACTTCCTTATAGACATGCCCAGAGGCTAACCCAATCCAGACACTCCCTTACAGACATGCCCAGAGGCTAACCCAATCCAGACACTTCCTTACAGACATGCCCAGAGGCTAACCCAATCCAGACACTCCCTCACTACTTTATAGACATGCCCAGAGGCTAACCCAATCCAGACACTCCCTTACAGACACGCCCAGAGGCTAACCCAATCCAGACACTCCCTTACAGACATGCCCAGAGGCTAACCCAATCCAGACACTCCCTCACTCCCTTACAGACATGCCCAGAGGCTAACCCAATCCAGACACTCCCTCACTTCCTTATAGACATGCCCAGAGGCTAACCCAATCCAGACACTCCCTCACTTCCTTATAGACATGCCCAGAGGCTAACCCAATCCAGACACTCCCTCACTTCCTTACAGACATGCCCAGAGGCTAACCCAATCCAGACACTCCCTTACAGACACGCCCAGAGGCTAACCCAATCCAGACACTCCCTTATACACTTGCCCATGATTCTAAAGACTGTCAAGTTGACAATATCAACCACCACATAGGGTGTAGTGGCACAGGCCAGAACTCAGCAAGCAGAGGCAGGGGATCAGAAGTTCAGCGTCTTCCTTGGCTCTATAGCAGGCTTGAAGCCAGCTTGGGCTACATGAGATCCTTTCTTAAAATGAAAGGGAGGGAGGGACTCTACAGACGATTCAGCAGTTAAGAGCTCTTGCTGCTCTTTCAGAGGACCTGAGTTTGGTTCTCGCTATTTCCGTGAGCCACTTACATCTGCCAGTAACTCCAGATGCAGGGGATACAATGCTCTCTTCCGGCCTGGGAGGGCACACGCACGAAAGTAACATTAAAAACACATGAGCACACACACCTCTCTCTTCTGATGCTCTCCCCCTTCTCCCAGAGTGAAATACTTTCTGAGCTCACTGTTTAGTGTTCCTGGTTATAGAGCTGATAGCTGAGAGGAAGGGCCGAAGCGTCTCTCGTCAGAATGTCATAGATACAAGGCTGTCCCTGTTTTGTTGTAACAAGCCTTCATTGCTACTTAAGCAGCCGGCCTCCCAAAGACTCTAGGACAGTGGTTCTCAACCTTCCTAACGATGCAACCCTTTGATACAGTTCTTCATGTCGTGGTGACCCCCAGCCATAAAATTGTTTTCGTTGCTCCTTCATTTTGCTACTGTCATGAACCGCAATGTAAATAAGTATTTGTGTTTTCCAGTGGTCTTGTGGGGTCACGACCCACAGGTGGAGAACCTCTGCCCTAGAATCACTTAGGAACCAAGTCAGATATCAGAGCTCCCAGAACACTTTTGGCCTCTGGTAAGGATGAAACTGCTAAGGGTTCCAAGGACATTTCTTGTTGTGATTATTTATGATTAATAAAGCCACCGGAGATCAAAATGCAAAGCTAGCCACAGCCATAGAGCCAGGCAGCAGTGACACACAACTTTAATCCCCGAAGTCATACTAGCTAGTCATAGAGGCCAGGCGGTGGCGGCACACACCTTTAATCCCAGGACAAGAAGCAGAGGAATCTCTGTGAGTTCAAGGCCTCACTAAGCTACACGAAATTGATACCATTTAAAAGAGAAACAGCTCACACAAAGGTGGTCCTAGCTCTTGGGATCACACGCCTTTAATCCCAGCTGTACGGAGTGGAGACTGGAGTGATGCGGCTGGGCGGAGAGAGGAAGATAAGGCTGGAAGAGACAGGAACCCAGAGGATTGCAGTCTCAGGTGAGCTTGTAACGGTGGCCACACCCTTTGGGCGTGGCCTCAGGCAGCCGGGAAGGGAAAGAGGGAAGCTTGAGGCGTGGCTTCCCTTGGCGCATTTCTTCAGGAGAGTCAGCCGATCCAGTAGGAAGAGCAGAGAAACGCTCCCGCGGCTCTTTGTATTGTTCTGTGTTATTGTTCCCCGATAAACACCCATTTATCGTTTTATCTTGGGTCTAGTGAAGTCATTACACCCTCGCCTTCACTGAGGCTTGGTGGAGAGCAGCGCAGTCTGCATCGCCCTCAGAGGATTCACGGAGACAGGATCACTCATTTTGGTCTAATCTTAAACTTGAACCCCAGTATCTGTCTCTAGGTTTCTATTATTCATGTTGCAATTTCTGGTTTTAGTCAAAAAAGAAACTGGCTACATTTCTCTCCCGTCTTTTTACCCTAAACTACCTCTTCAGTTTCTACTTCCTGTCCTTATCATCCCTTAGCTCTCTGAAGAGCAAACCCTAACTGCCGTTGTGGGATTGGGACAGAGACTGGGTGTCAGGCGGGGCATTCCTCCAGAGTGCCCATCTAAAAGAACTCAGCTGTCAGAGGGAGGGAGGAAAGGGAGTTCTTCCCTGGTGTCTGGGCGGGATTTAAAACGTCCAAATCAAGGCTCGTTAGAATCTCTGTGGGCTCACCAGAGCTTCTGTACACAGGACACTCTTCTGAAAGTGGCCAGCGGAAAACTCGCATTGAAATGTAGACTTGGCTCAGCAGGTAAGAGGTCTGCTACACCAATTCGAGGATCCGGCATTCAGAAATCCACCGCCCATAGATATCAGCCAGAATTCACTACATTCGTGCCTGTAACCCCAGCCTTTGGGGGGGGGGGGGATGAAGATCGGAGGGCCCCTGGGGCTTGCTGAGTGTTAGCCTAGCTCTAGGTTCCGAGATATCCTGCCTCAGGGAAAGGAGACAGGGCAGTGACTCTCAGCCTTCCTAAGGCTGTGAGCGTTAACACAGTTCCTTGTGTTGTGGTGACCCCAACCACAAAGTCACTCCAGTTGCTACTTCATAACTGTCATTTCGTTACGGTCATGAATCGTGATGTGTTTTCCGACGGTCTTAGGTGACCCTTGTGAAAAGGTTGTTAGACCCTTAAGGGGGTTGTGACCCACAAGGTGGGAACTGCCAAAGTGGACAATGGTTAGAGTTGTCTGACTTTTGAATACGCATGCCTGTATATGCGTGTACACATACATATGATATATCATTTTTGAATACACATACCTGTATATGCGTGTACACACACATATGGTACATCATACACAAAATTAATTTTTAATTAAAGAAAATGCAAAAATAACTTTGCTCATTGATTTTTTTTGTTTGTTTATGTTTTTTTGCTTGTTTGTATTAAGGAAGTCTCAGTATGCAGCCCCTGTTGGCCTGGAATTCACTCTGCAGACCAGGCTATTCTCAGATTCATAGAGATCACCTGCCTTTATCCCGAGTGCAGGGATTAAAGGAGTGAGCCATTATGCTGGCTGCAGATGGTTCTTATTTATGAACGAGCATGGTCGGTTTCAGGAAGGGCACACAGTCACACCCAATTCTTGTTATAATCTAGAGTTAAATTCGCTCAAGTGGCTGAACTCACAGCTTTGGGCCGGGAGTGTCATCAGCAGAAGGCAAAGCAGCTAATACTCACACTAACGGTCATTATGCAATAAGAGCAATATAGAAACAAAGAGGATTGCTAACCTCCTCCAGCTAACCTATACAAAATAGTTAACGGATCTTAGAACTGCTAGATGTTATACATTTGCCTGAGCAATGAGTCACCATTAAAGTCCCAGAACATTCTAATACAAGTCCTGAAGAAGCAAAGATCATAATTGGGCTGGTGAAGCAGGAAAAGCAGCTACGCCGTATAAAACCACCAAGAACACTAAGGGTGGAGAAGACAACAGAGACAGTTTGCAGCAGCTCAGAACTCCGTCTCCCTTAGCTGGAAATATGGAGAAACTGGATCCCCCGAATGAATACAAGATTGTTTTTCAATAGCCTCATAGGGCGCCATGACCTGCTAAACATGTCAGAGAGCCACCAGCTCCAAATGTTGAGGATTAGCTGGGCAGAGCGCCCAACAGCCCAAAGTTTGGGGCCTCACTGTGGGAGTGCATTGCTTGGTGAACTAGAACCAGCCACCAGCGTTCTGTCAGCCTCAGTTTCCCCACATAGCAAATATGTGCTCGAGTAGAAAGTTCAAATCCTCTTAGCCCGAGTATTCTTAGTCCAGAGAAATCAGATCTTTAATGCTGGCCCGACTCTTGTACTGAACCACTAGGTGGCCCTATATGGGCAGAAACAGACGAAGCCCCTCTTTCCTAAGACTGTTGGTCTGCATGCTTTTACTTGGTGATTTTACACAGCACGAAGCTGCCAACACCATCTTTTGTAGCTGCTTACGTGGGACGATGTCTCAGAAATATTGGTCAGTGTGAAAACAGGCTTGGAATACTATAGCCCTGACACAGACCTCTGTCCCAAGGCACGCACACTCAATTTCAGAAAGCTTTGCGTGTCAGCTTGATTTAGGAACCCTAGCACCCTGCCGAGGCTTGATTTGAGCGTGCCTTCTGGAGAACAATCCTATGTGAGCTGGAGTGGCCTAAGAGGGGAGTAGCTGTCATCGATGTGGGTGAGCTCCATCAAACTGGAGACCCAGAAAGAATAAATGAAGGTGAACTGATCTGTTCTGTAAAATCTGGGACAGACATTTTCTGCTGCCTTAAACATCACACCTCCAGGACTCTTGAGATTTGCATCAAGAATCCTTAAGTTTTCCAGGATTTTGAGGCTTCTGGATGTAGACTGAGCCACCTTATAAATATCCCAGGGTCTCTAGTTGGCAGATGGGTTGAAATGTATCTCAGCTTCCATTAGCATCTTAAAGATATTGTGACTTATTATAAATTGTGTGTATGAATGGTTTGCCTACCTGCATATCTGTTCGACACACGTATGCCTGGTGCCTATGGAGGACAGACGAGTCCATCAGATCCCTTGGAACCGAAGTTACAGGTGGATGTGAGCTGCCACATGGGTGCTGGGAATCGAGCCTGGGTCCTCTGCAAGAGCAGCCAATGTTTTTTTAACTGATGAGCCATTGCTCCGACCCCTCATCAGCTTCTGTAGTTACATGATCCTAATTCTCCTGGTACAATTGATGAACTCTTACCCAAACTAACCAAAAGATAGCAGACCTAAAGTAATGAGATTTGAGATGGAAGAGGACATTATAATGGATGACCATTAAGGAATACTTGAAAAAGAGCATTTTCCAATACGTTTGAAATCTACAAAAATGAACAAATTCCTAGATGCATGTGACCTACCAAAATTAAATCAGGAGGCTATAAAGAACACAAATAGAACTATAACGAGCAATGAAATTAAGGCAGTAATAAAGAGGCCTCCATTTAAAACAATAAAACCCAGGACAGCATGGATTCACTGCTTAATTTGCCAATATTTAAAGATGAACAGCCTGGTGTGGTGGCTCACGCCTCGAATTCCAGTACTCGGGAGGCATCCGTCGGCGGACCCCTGAGTTTGAGGCCAACCTGGTCTACAGAGCCAGTTTGAGGATAGTCAGGATTGTGAAGAGACACCCTGTCTCCAAAAAACAAAACATTAAGAAAGAACCACTACCAGTTTTCCTCAAATTGAAAGAACCATTACAAGCTCATTTTACAAAGACAGTGCTACCCTTATTCCGGAACTGGATAAGGACACAATGAAAGAAAGCAAATTTGGAAAAATTTCATTGATGAATACCAAAGCAAAATTCTCAATGAAATGTTTGCAAACCAAATGGAAGATCACATTTAGAAAAAAAGACACACCATGACCAAGTTAGCTTTATTCCAGTGCAAGGAAGACTGAACACATGGAAAGGAAAATCATAGTCAGAAGTACAGAAACCACTGACCAGAAAGTGTAGCCAAGACGTAGAACTATAAATTCAGTAAAAAAGATGGTTACAAAACCAAGATGGAGGGCAAGTGAGATGTTTCAGCTGGTAAAGGCCCTTGCCTCCAGTGTTGACAACCTCAGTTTAATCCCGGGGACCCACACGGTAGAAGAAGAGAAGTCACCCCTGCAAGTTATTCTCTGACCTCCACACTCATGCCATGCCTCTTTCTCAACAAATAAATTAATTAAAAACAAAAGTATTAAGTTTAGTTCCCTGTGCATTAACTTCTTCAACCATAAGTTTTGAATAACAATAATGTTTATCTGACAGTGCTATGATGATTAGGAGCATATTAAAAGTGATTCATAGGATATAACATACATTGTCAACATTATTTAATTAGGGGCAGTGAAGATACAAAGGAATCTAACCCGGGGCTGGAGAGATGGCTCAGAGGTTAAGAGCACTGCGGGTTCATCCGGAGGTCCTGAGTTCAATTCCCAGCAACCACATGGTGGCCCACAACCATCTGTAATGAGATCTGATGCTTTCTCCTGGAGTGCAAGCATGTACACAGAAAAAAAACTGTATACATAATAAAATTATACATATATATATATATGAGAAATCCAACTCATGATTCTTGTATTAGTCTGTTTTTCTTTGGCATACTAAAATGCCTGAAATTGGGTGCTTTATTAATGGAACTGTTTGTTTATATCTTAGGATAACCTCAGTCTTGTTATATGACTAAAGATGACCTTGAACTTCTGATAATCTCCCAAGTGCTAGAACTAAAGGTATGCATCATCATGTTTATTCAGTGCTGGACATTGAACCCAGGTCTCATGCATGCCAGGAAAGCACTCTGCCAACTGTGCAGGGGAGGTGGGCTACCTGTCTTATAGTTACATTGTTGTGTGTGACTTGGCATTAAAAGTTTAATTGTTTCTCTTGTCAATAACATTGGCTTCACTAGCAGGCTTGGAAGTGGCACTTGACTTTCTATAAGCCAGCAGTCCTCA